ATAATTAAAAATTTAAAGAAACCTGATTTTTGAAATTTAAAACATGTTTTGACATTTTTGAAATTGGTAAAAGTAAATGCCTTATTTATGTATTCTTCTCGTTAGTAAATATATACATATTTTTTGCCCATTACATTTTGCGAACATAAAGGGAGGGCTAATCCCCCAATATTTTGAAATTTGGGCTGATCCATGTCCATTTATCGAAGTTGTTTCCTTTCTATTTTCTTTTCATTTTTGGGTTTAGCAGCATAAATTAAGTCGATTGAGTTTTTTAAAAAAATAAGGGTAAGTTTGATTGCAAGTATGAAATTTGCGTGGAAATAAAATAAATTCTAGGCAATTCAATTGCTTAAAACTTATTTGTATATAAATTAATAATTAAATGTGTTTAATTAATTTAGTTTTCAATTTAAAAAATATTATACTTATCCATTTTTTATTGGTGGGCAGATGAGAGAATGTGGATAAATAAAAGAGAGAAAGAGAGAGTGACTTCTGTAAAAAATAAAATCTTACTCCCCGTAAAGAAATATTTTCCTTGATTTTGAGGAAAATGTGACAACGTGATCAAAAGTAGGAACATGTTTTCCATGAAAAAAAATGTCAATAAAACAGCACAAAAATAGAAATTTGGATGGAAAAAACACACTTTACATGAAAAATATTGACAATCAAACACATCATAATAGAAACGTGATTGAAGTAGATTTTGAAGGTACCCCTTTTATTTATCTCAAGTGCACGCATTCATGTGACCAAGTCGAGACCTTTCACTTTATTAAGGGAAAAATTTTCATATTCAGTGATTGTAGATACGAGAGAACATATACAAGGGTTATTGCTAATNGACCTTTCACTTTATTAAGGGAAAAATTTTCATATTCAGTGATTTTAGATACGAGAGTTCATATACAAGGGTTATTGCTAATTTTAACAAAACTGGCCACTTGAATAGAACTGAGAAACTCAATTTTCAAAATTATATTAAAAACAAGTCATAATTATTAAGGGACGTGTTAAAGGTAAAATATCACATCAAATAATTATGAAAACAATAATAAACATATAAAAATTTAGACGACACTCCAAATGACCGAGCAGTGTTATAAAAAGTGAGTCTAGACGCGAGGAGCGGGCAAAATGCCGCGCTTTGATAGTAAGTGTAAAATTAAGCGATCAACCGCCAATTGACAGCTTAATGCACTAGGTGCGCCTGGCGTGCTTTAATCAATTTTTTTTTCCTTTTTTAAAAAGCCTTTTTGACTTAATTAGTTTCAAGTTTTTTATTTGAAAATTGTATAATTGTTTAATTGTAGGATTTATTTGATAAACATGGTATTTTATAATTTTAAATGTTTTGTGTTGACGTCGAAAATTGTATAGA